TCAAGAAGAGCAGCAGAGGATGCAGCAACAGCAACATGACAGTCAGCAGAGCCAAACTGCATCCACAACAGGTGCCACAAGCTATGCACCTCCTCCAACATCATCCACATCAGCTGCAGCCACCCTCCCAAGTCAAATGCCACCAAGAAGCAGGCTACAAGTCATTAGACCTAAGAACTAGTATACTGTACTTAGACTTAGGAAGTACATGAATCACCTCCCATTTTGTATGTTAGAAGGGGGAGATAGTTAGTTGGATGTTTTTTAACTTGTTAATGAATATCTAATATGCTTTTAGATGCTACAATGCTTATGGATGTAATGTGTTGGGTTGAACACAATTTTTTTGGTCAAACATATTCATTGACAGTAATAACATGGTCATTGACAATAATCACTTTGCACATGACAGTAATAACTTCTTCATTTCATTCATAGCTTGTTCATTACATTCCATAATATAACATATGAATAGCATTACAATCATCCCAGCTTGCACCTCCCCATTAAACCAGTTTATTCAATACAACATATCCTAAAACTAAAAGAACAGAAAACATAACAACTACAACAAGTTTGAGGTTTCTGTCAGGATTGGCATTGTTGCTGATCATATTCTTCCTGTCACCACTTAGGGCCTTGCATTTCAGTTTCAAAGTGTCCACCTCATTCAACAAACATCTTCTCTGCCCAGTCAAGTCATCAACCTCTCTCTTTAGTGAGTTCACTTCAGCTTTGATCAGCCTTTTGTCAAGAAGAAGTTGGTTAATCACCTCTTTCTGCCAATCTGTTCCATCTTCAGTGTCAACCCATTCAAAACACTTGCACCCCCTTGTCTCAGTAACAGGGTCATAGAATTTTCATGCCCTGAATTTCCTCCCTGGGTTCTCCCTAGTCCAAGATGTCAGCTTTCCAAAAGGCAGTCCACAATTGCATTTCTTCTGGTTTGGGGGAGATGAGCTATTCCAAGACATTTTACAACCTGCAAATACCAAAATAAGTGTCATTTACCAAACACTTTCATTACACAATGTGTTTTAGAGTTTTCTACAAAACCACACATACTCATTGTGGGGGTGGCCAGGTCCCATTTTGCTTCATCCTGTGCTCTAATATACAGTCAGCCAAGAAACCAGGGTCATCTGTGCTCCCAACATGTATGGTGTACATGTCCTTATTAGGTAACCTCCTAATCATCTTGAATACATCACCATCATCTTCTAAAGTCCAATACTTCCCTTTATATATATATTGAAATGTGGGATGCAGAAGGTCAATTGATCCTTCTACTGGATCTTCCATTTCACGAATTTGATCCTCAATTGCTATTGTTGTGTCCAACAAATTATGTTTGCCTACTTCATATTCAATGTCTATAGCAACACTCAAGTACTTAAACCTGAATAACACCTTATTCTCCTCCATTACTGCATCAAGATTTCCAACAACAACTAATCAATGACAATCATGCATTCAACAAAACCCCAATTACCTAATCACCCTAATTTCCCCCAATTGTACAAGCAAGGTTAATTCTACAGTTGAAACCAAGTAATTCATGCTAAAAAACAAACCCTAACTAACAATTCCGCCATTTTTCCCCAAATTAATTGCAATAAGAATCCTAATTTTAAAAATTCAGAAACCATACCTGCTGCGATTACAACTGATGTATGTATGGGGGATTCGTCTGCAACTAGGGGATTTGATTTCGCTGCAAATTTTGAAGAAATTGAAGGAGATTTGTGGGTTTAATTTTGGGGAAATGTTTACTCTACAAAAATCGTGGCCAATTTCAATTACAGAGGGAAAAGTAGCCGTTATTAGCCGTTGGGTGGGACCAATGTCTTAAATTTCCAACGGATTTTCAAAATGGGTGGTCATCTGTGTGAAAATTTAATTTAGTGGGTGGTTATTTTAAATTTTTTTTTCTTTGGGTGGTTAAATTTAAAAGTGAATCTTTTTTGGGTGGTTATTTTCAAAATTTCCAAATAATTAATAAAAGCTGAAGCAACTACGTAACGGATAATAAAAGCTGAAGCAACTACGTAACGGATTATAAACTCGCGGTTTATAAGTTTATAGATACTGATTGATTCTACCCTCAAAATTAAATTGCTATTATCTTTCGCAATGAGACATTTTAAATTTTTACTCCCTCCATGTTTTAATATATAAGCGTTACACTTACCAAATGCGTTCATGTTTAAATAAGTGTTACACTTTTTTTTTTTGGCAAAAAGCTACATTTTAACATTATATCTATCTCCTCTCATGGTCCTCACCTAAACAAACTATTACTTTTCTTTTTATTATTTCTCTCCTTTCACATCTATTACTTTTCAATAAACTATTAACCCCACTATCTTTCTTTTATAATTTTTTAATACTCCAATTATCCCACTTACCTCTTATTTTATTTAAGTCAAAAACTATGTGACGGTCAAATTGTAACATTTATTAAAACACGGAGGGAGTATGATTTACCATCGAATGCAATGCCTTAAATATGAGCAGTGACACAAAAAAAGTCTAATCGATTTCTTTTATTTTACGAAATCTCCATCCACAAGCATTCTACTCGCTTCTAAACAACTTTTTTAAACTCAGTTTCGACGGTATCAGTTAGCAACAATACATTTGTATTACTAGAAGTCGTCATCAAAGATAGCAGCGGAGCCCTGGGCATCTTTGTTCAATCTCTGTAACACTAACTTTTTCATCATATTCAAATTATATTTTGTAAAAATAATTTCAATTCAATTTAAATAAAATAATTTTGAGTAAAATAATTTAATTCAGCATAGATAAGGGTAGAGAACAGGACCATAAAAGGCTTTTTTTCTCAAAAGTTTTAAATATTAATTTCTCAAAATTTCATTCAAATTGCTAAATTTTTTTTTTTTCCAATTCAATAAGTTTTTTTTTTTTTCGGGAACTCTGTTTTCGAATTTAGGATGATGAGAAAAATTCACTGAAAAATAGATGAAAACTCTTACAATTAATTGTTGAAAACTCACTTACAGTTTTCTCACTTAAATAGTAACTTTCTTTCTCTCTAACTATATATATATATATATATATATATATATATATATATATATATATATATATATATATACCGTGTTAAGGAAAGTTTTCCTAAATTAAAAATAAAATGACACCCTGCAAATTACCGACTTAAGGTATAGGCGTGTGCTTCAAGCAATTACGAATTCGTTTCTATATAATGTAGTCAAGATTATTTCTGATTTGTTGTTAACAAAATTAAAGGCAAGGTTAATATAATTTCTCTAGAGTAAAAAATAAAGAACCTTGTTTTGTGAATCAACAATGGCAAAGTCACAAGAAAATAACGTCATGATTACTTGCGAGCATCGTCAAGCAGCAACACAACGAGACATGAAGATCATCGTGCGATACGAAGAGTGGGAGCGGAGGATTAAATGCGGCGAAAAAGATGATGAAACAACTCCGTATACTAAAAACGAGAAAGCTTTACAAGTATTAGGGTGTTTTAATCCAGTAGATTGTGAAGCGTGCAAGAGTAAGTTATCGGAGTTTCTTAAATCCGTCTTACACCCTAACCCTGATGAAGTGCTACAAGACTTGTACGAGAATGTTTCGAGTGTTCGACGTATGGTTGTTGCGGAGAAAAAAAAGTTCCGGTTTGCTAAGGTGTATGAAATCGTCAACCACGTTGAGCGACACAGTTTGTCACACAACAATGAGTGGGTGATCTCTTGGGTTGACTACCGGAAGCAACAACCAGAACCGCACCCTTTGCCACTACGCGCAATGGAGCCGGTTAAGGTGGACGGTCTGTCTATGGAGGAGGGTGAGGGTTTTAGTTGTGCTATCTGTCTCGAAGGGGTTAAGGGCAAGAAGAGGAAGAGAACGACGTCGATTCAAGATGATGTTAAAGAACCGGAGTCTAATGGTGAAAATCGAGTTGTAAGGTTATTGTCATGTCAACATATGTTCCACAAGACTTGTATTGATCGATGGCTAAAGGACTGTGGTCATGATACTTGTCCTCTTTGCCGGTTTCTGTTGCCGAAATCATCAAGATGTCAATTTAATTGGGATCTTGCAAAGAAGAAGGCTTTGGATAATGCGAAGGTCGTTAAACTATGTTATAAGTAATAAGGTCTAGCTCTGAGAAGATGTATGAAGTTAAACTAAGTCAATTGTTAGATTTGAGTTGTATCTTTTTTAGGCTTGGAAGTTCCATTGATTTCGTTCGTTATAAATCCAAATATCTAGGGATTTAATGAGACAAAAAAATTTACTCTTGTTGTCGCACTTATTGCATCATGTAAGAAATGAAAATTAGTGCAATTATTAGATTATGAATATATGAATGTTCTTTATTTTATCATAGTCTCATGATCTTTAATTTTGTATTAATAATGATTTACAAAATTTTACAAAAATTGAGGAAATTTTATAATTTATGATAACGTTTAGAGAAAAGAAATTGTTAAAAATCAAGTTTACGGTCCAAAAATCCGAGAAAGAATGTAGTTAACTCTCAAGATTGTTGATGTTATTAAGCAACACAACTCTGCAAAAATGTGTAGTGTTTTTTTTGCACATTGTATATGCACCAATTCAATGTTAGGAAATAGAAACATTCCAGCTTATTTATGAGTTTTTTTTTTTTTTTTCCAAACATTTTGTGAGTACTCTAAGCTTCAATGAAATAGATTATTTACTGTGTTTATTACGCTTACAATAACATGATTCAATAACCAAACTCAGTGTCGCAGGGAATCATGGTTACAGGCCGATACAATTTTTCTTGAATATGGCAGATTCCAGACTCTTTTACACTACAAGTTTACACCTGAAGGCAAACAGAGTGTCAAAATTAACTTGCGCGAGGTCTTTACAAGGTTGAGAATACACATATTTGTGTTAATTATACCTGGCAATGTTCTCGTTGATCTCTCTCGAATTTTTGCTAGAAACATTTATCTGTAATACATGGCAGTATCTTTCTACGGACAAGTTCATTGTATCACCTCATTTCATTATTGATAGGGAATCCTCCTCTTTGTTGCGTCGAAGTTCAAACAAATAGCAACAACCAACATACATATATATATATATATATATATGTGCATTCTATCAGCTCTAAATACTACATCAAATCCCCTTCCTACACAATCCTCTTTATATAACATAGGGCAACCTAAAACAAGACTTCTAAACACGATAACCATACTAAGTAACTTCTGGTGTTACAGGGTTGACATCCTTGACCTTCAAGAAAAACATGAGAAACTACTCATTAAAGTCGTAATAACACTGGTTTTTACTTTGAAGCTGCAATCCTCTATTTGCTTGAAGGCTACCAAACGTCCATCAGAAGAAAACAACCAAGTCTCTCAATATACACCTACTTCATGGTATTACTCTCCAGTCCCACCAATATACATCACCTTCTACGGCGTTTAGTGTCCACCTGAAACAGCCGCATTAGTATGAGACAAGCAATAAAGTGACATCAAAAAAGTAGTACAGAATTTTGACATCAAACACAATTAACATAAGGCAGGCCAAAACATCATTCTTGAGATCATGTAAACACTATCATCTTCTTTAAGACAACCAAAGACTGAGAGTTTAACATAGAGAATTTGGTCAGCAATAAAAATCCATATTTCCCACCATTTCTTCAGGTCTACAAAAATTGAAAAATCTACCGCCATCATTTCTAAGCACAAGAAGTAAATGCATTGCCAATCACAACAATTCAAGGCTTACTGAGTGTGTGGCATAGTAGCTCTTATTAAACAAATAGCTCAATGAATGCATGCAAGAACAGTAGAAGCCAATTAGCAAGCTTAATTTTATTAGATTGCACATTGAAACAAAGATACATAGTAAGATTCCATAAAAAAAGAGATCAGAATGTTAATTGATTAGGCGATTTGAGCCATCCATTGAAAATCCTAAACGAGTACTGACCCTCTACCCCAAATACCCACCCAAATGAACATACACACAGTGATCTTTTGGGCATTAAGTTTTGACAGCCAAAAAAGAGATGGCTGAATCATTGACACCCTACACTCCCAAAGCAATCAAGAAAAGAGATAGTTTGAATATTCAACATTTAAAGGGAATAAATATTAAAATATCCAGATCCGAAAGACAAGTGATCTGGTTGTTAAGAAAGGCAAATATACAAATAAGACTGCAGAAGCTGAAGAATGAAATGATAAAACCAACTTAATTAAAGAAAACTTTTCTTGATACATGCATATCAAAATTAAAACAACAGCTCAATATCCTCTAAATCCTATACCCTTATCAAGAGGTGAAGCCAGATTTCTAAATTCAGGACTGATACTTATAATCCGTATTTAAGAATATGATGTATAAACTCTATAAGGTAATAAGTTTTTTAGGAAACTAAGTGTAAAGTAATAGTTATATATTCACTTCTTAATAATATAAAATCAAACAAATACTATTTAATTTTATGGTATTACCTACCATTTAGGCACACACAAAAAAAGTACTCGTATTACTATATTAATAATCAAATAATAAGTATACTCTTTTATGAAATTAGTTACCCCTCAAAGTTAAACATTATCAATAAATTAACTCTAAATAGAAGATACATAAATAGTGATGGTAGGTTATGCAGCTATGTAATTGAATCCTCTTTATTTAAAGCAATGTAATTGAATTAAGATATTCAAAGATAATAAGAGGCAGACATAAATGGAGTGAGGGAAAATAAAAATAGCAAAAAGCCAGCTACACGATTTGAACCAGCACCTCTCACATGCGCGAGGTTTTTACATTTCTCTCCCCCTAACCACTATGACAGGCTGGATGATGTTATAGTGTTCAGTTTTATTAATTTTATAAAATATGGAGCCATCTAAAAAACGAGGGAGCACTGGATTTAGGCTGTAAAAGCCAGGCCTCCACCTCCCTCCCACCATTATCAATACGAAGCATTTGTGTGTACTCATTTCACTATCACCCACATGCCAGCATTAGTCCCAGATAGCATGCAGAGACAAGACAATTTTTCAATGATTTTTCTATTCTTCTTATGGTGAATACTGACTGTAAATGTCCAAAATACCACTTCTGGAACTCCAGGGTTCCATCCTGGCTACCCATTCCTAGTGACCTATACTCAACTAATCAACTTCAGGATAGCAGACAATGCATGCTTACACGTTGCAAAATCCAGAAGACTAGGAATTAAATAACAAAACAGGTGTTAAAATAGAATACAAACATTTTAAAAAAAAAAAAAAGAAAGAAAGAAAGCACATCAATGTGTGTTATGAGAATCAGTGATAAGGAGATAAGAGACTAGGGACTACAAACTCACTCTTTAATTAATTTTCAGAAAATATACTCAGCTTCCTTTCCGTGGTCATTACTAAAACACAATCCAAAGGGCTCAAATTCACATCATTATTTTCAAGTTATTTGAGTTCTCGCCTATTTCTTTAGGCTAGATTTGAAAGTAAATAGACGAATTAGGTTAAGGATTGGATTCATTAAGGCTTTCACAAAAGCCACTAGATTAGGGGGGAAAAAAAAAAAAAAAAAAAAAAAAGCAATCATGCAGATCTATCTTTTAGCAGCAAAGATATTGAATGCCCATGACTCATGATACGTCAATTTCATGCAGCCCCCTACATCTTTAAAGGGAAAGAAATTGAATGTGCATGACTCATCACATGTCCTTCCAACTAGAGGGAGTAAATGTGTAAGAAATATCTATGGATCAAAATACTCGTTGGCTTGATTTCTAAGAGCATCAAGATTTTCTGCCCAGTAAGATAAATTCATAATCATTAATCACTCTTTTTGCATAGAGTATATTATACTCTTGCTCTGATTTCCTTTATCCAAAAACAAATTCTTATTCGTGCAACTAAAGACTTGCTATCGACAGTCACAACATATCCAGTTTTCAATAGCAAAATTATCATTTTAAGCTGTCTTCCTTGTACTTCCTCTCAAATTACTCATATCTTACAATCGTTTACACTTTCAACTTGATGCTAGGTCTACCACATCATATAGCTAGTGCCACTGTTCCAGTAAAGGTTGTCTTTAGTTTACATGTAAAAATCTAGAGGCCAGTAAATTAATTAGTTTACATGTAAAGAGGTGCTTACATGTCCAAACCAAAACATCTCAACTTTTTACAGCAAACCAGTTTACTCCTTACTACAAAAGTGCAGTGTCAAGCTCTGGTTCAGCCAAGCTTGACCTTAGTGATTAATTCTATTTGTAATTACTTCAGATTGGGATATCTAATTTTATAAGTAAAACAAAAAACAACAAAACAGAATTTCCCATCAATCCATCATTAACCACACCTAATGTAAATTGATAAAATGCTATTTCATGTACCTTTGTATCAGAATGTCTAGAAGCAGCATGTGAATTCTGCAACTTCTTTGGGTCATCAGAGGAACAATTTTGGCAATAGAAATTATCAAGTCTTTTAGCTTCTTCTGCCGTCATTTCTATACAAGCAGGGTGAAACCTATTAAACAAGGCAAAGCTCCAACGGTTAATGAGAAAAGGAGGCAAATTAGGCCAAAAAAGAGCATTTACTGTTTACTACGAATTACAACGATTTTGCCTGTTCATGCTAAATCAAGACATGTCAGTATTAAATTCATCCTGTGGAAAAAGTGCATTGTAAGATTCAAATCTTACAAAAACATTATTTATGCATCACCAAGACTTAATATTCATACGCAATAAATACGGAATAATAATTCTGGGATGAGATCTTTCCAAGCTTATTTCCTGTTTAGTCTCTGACGACAGCTTTTTAGTTTATGGAATAGAAGGTGAAAAAGGCAGGACACTTACTTTTAATCAACAAAAAAAGGGTTCTAAAAACCTATACAACAGATAAACCAACAGCAAGTGCAAAGAAATACCACCATCATGACTAGCAAAATTACTGCATTTCTCCAACAAAATTTGCCAGAAAAGTCTTTAAAAGGATTAGTTGTTTGGTTTATACAGATTATGAACTTATTATCACATCAGTTTCAGTAAAACAGCATGTAAATCCAACCAGAGATAACAACACCACTAGCAAGATTATATGATCATGAGATCTAGGGAAAGGAGGAAAATCGTAACTCCTCGAGTCCTCAAAAAACCTCCATAGGAATTTAAATAACTATTGTAAGGTGATTTATCAAACAAACCAAGAAAGAATCACTTCTGGCTCTCAGCAGAAAAAGAAATTCTGCATAAATTCAATAAGCATATAAGGCTTTTTTGGTAATGATTTTAGAAATACCGAATTTAGCAAGTAAAGCTTATCGAGCACAAAACTCTGTGCTGCATTTCAGAAGTAAGCCTACAGATATATCAGCGCCCTTCATCTCTTGGTGTAACCCAACACATTTCACCTGTCATCTCCGCCTCACCTGGTGAAGTCTCTCACTTGTCATCAGTATTATTTACCATCACAGTACTAACTTGATCACATGACAGAACCGATGTTGTAATATCCAATATAATGCATGCACGCAGAAATTAAAACTTAGAGAGGTAAATGTAAATTTCAAAATTAGGACTCACCAATCACTGCATGCCTCACACTGGACCATCAAATCATCCGGATTGTATGGCATCTCACACTTGCAGTACCTGCAAAGATTATCCCAAACCGTTAAGAATTCAGTTAGACAGAATCTATAAATCCCAAACAAAAACAAAACATTTCCATATTTCAACAATAAATAAAACACGATAAGCAGAAAAGTAACCTATTAACCCATCCTAATCCCAAAATTAAAGACAATTTATCCATCCATTTCGACTGACATACTAAACCACTCCAGCGCAGGTCAACCACAGTAGATAACAACAAATTGCAAAATTTCACAATAGCATCCAAAAAATCCCACCCAAAAGAGGGAAGAAAACACATTTTCGCCATATCAGCAGACTAAACAGTGTAAACCGACGGTGGTAAGTTGTAAATATAATCCGAAATTTCCATAACAGAATCAATTAATAAACTAAAAAGTCCCACTCCATTCTGTAATCACCCACTATTCTCTCCCCTTCAATTCTCCTCAATTCGCCAAATCAAATCAAACAAAATCCCACATTTCAGCATAATTCAACCACCCCATAAGAGCACAGCAGCAATACAAAAATTCATCACATTTGCAATCAAAAACATTTCACAAAAAGATCAAAATGACAACAAAAATACATTCCCAATTCACCAAATTACACAATCTAAAACATAGTATTAACGAAATCGCAGATAAATACACACCCCAAATCAGCTAATTAACCCAAATTCACACTATTTCATTTCCCAATTGACAATCAAATCAAAACCCCCAAAAATCCCTAATTCCCAAAAAAATTCAAGAAATCAAAGAAAAGATAAAAGAAAGAGAGAGCACATACACGGCAACACGATCAGGGGTGAAAGCGCCAGTAGCAGAGTTATACTCAAAACGACAGAAGTAATCGTCGTTTCCAACAGCATCAAGCTTAGTATAATTCTTAAAACTATGAACCATACATTTCCCCTCAATAGTATCAGCGCTTTGAACATCAAAATGATCCGACAAGAACAACTCCTTTGACCCATGAAACTGTCTACGACCACCGATCGATTCTTCCGGCCGGTAATACCAGCGCACGTGAACACGTGCGTTTGTCCCCCGAGTGTCGGACTCAATCCTCTCAACGCGCGCCACGTAGGACGGGCTGGAAGGTTCTGCCGGCCTCATCAGCACGCAGTCTCCGGCTGCACATGAGAGAGAAAGATGAATGTTAAATTACGAAATTGACCTTGGTTTTAGAGAGAGAAAGAGACTTACGTTTTATGGGTTTGTTGAGGGGTTTAAGGGTAAAAGAGTCAAGGGTGCGTTTGGAACCTCGAGGTCTTCCCATGGAGATTGGAGGAGAAAGAAAGTGTGAATTTTTCAGGTAGAAAGAGAGAGAGAGTTTACTCAGGTCATGTGTTGCAGAAAAGAGCAGAAATGTTAGAGAATGATGAGGAAAAGGTTTTTTTTTTTTTTTTTTTTTTGGGGGGGGGGGGGTTTAATGAATGAAAGAAAAAAAAAAAGTTTTGTTTTGATTTTGGGTGGATGTGGATTTTGTGTTTTGGCGGTGAGGGAGAAATCTGCCGGTGAACAAGCGACCGACGGTACTGTTAAAAGAGTGGGGGATTGGGCGAATTGAAATTTACCTTTGGTTGTTGACGTAGTTTACTACGAGTAAAGATAGTTGTCGGTTATGACTTGTGTTAAACTTGTGTTTCTTTCTCTAATACGGAGTATGCGTATATGCCATGTCATAGGGAGATTGTTATATCCACCCATATACTTGAAGCCAAAACTAATCTTAGGTTTCTTTAGTATGGGTTACTCGCTTTTTTTTTTGGGGGGCGGGGGGTTGGTAAGGAGTAATGGCGGAGTCAGAAATTTTGAACCGGAGGACAAATAGACATCATATAGTTTGACAAAAATGTTGGAAAAAAAAAAAAAAAAAAAAAAAAAAACTAATACTTAACACACAATTAATTTGATAGTTAAAGTTTTACAACTCAAAATTTCAAAATACGGAGTACTTAATAATAAATTCCAACATCATATACCAAAATATTGCAACAAAATATGTATTTGATCTGACTATTTTTTTTTTAAGTGGGGGAACAGCTGTCCCACTTTTGCTCCGCCAGTGGTAAGGAGAAGAGCCCTACCGAACTAGAACCTCTCAAAGGTAAGGGAATTCTACCCCAAAAGTGTCTCTAGTGGGATTTGACTTAAAAGGTTACTCGCTTACCTGTGGGATACAAACTTGCCCGCTAAACCAAGTTTGACTTGAAAGGGTTACTCGCTTTATATGCCCAATCAAGTCCATTATACAGCATAATTTCAAATAAGTTCTGATGAATAAATTCATACTCATACACACCCATAATAAATTTGATGTCCAAATATCAATTACATATTCTTTATACTCCCTCCGTTTTATAATGTTAGTTCCATATGGAATCAATCACATAAAATAAAAAAGGAAGAATATTTGGAATCTAACATTAAAGTATAAAATAATTCATAATTAGTTTACCTTATTTAAGTTTTTTTTTTTTGGGAAAACATAAGTCATAATTGCATAATTCAAGGTAGAGATTTCCTTATTTAGAGTCATGTCATCAATCCACAACCAATTAATTCCAAAAAATTTAAGTTTAAAATAGAACATATTCAATATGGGTATATCTTTTCAAAACGCCCAAAATAGTGTATGAGACTAACATTATGAAACGAAGGGAGTATTTTGTTTACGAGAGTGAAATAAACTTCACCTCTTTTTTAAAATTTTCAAAACAACTAAGATTAAATTTCGTCAACAGAATTTACCGAGATTTCTTTGCCAAAAAAATTACAGTTAACATTTTAACAAAAGCTTGTCTTACGAACTTGCCACCTACCTTTAACATCATTTATCTCCAACAAGTCAACAACAACTTACTAATAATGAGTCCTGAATTTACTTATTAAAGTCATCATAAATTAAAAAATTTCAAACACAATTAGATTACAAATCCATTTATAGTACAAAAAAATACTTAGTATAATTTCATGCATCTCAATTATGCATTTTTTTTTTTAGCAACAAATCTTCAAGGTTTCATCAGACATATATAGAAACGCAAAATTTCAATTCTCCAAATTAAAACAGCTGCATTATTTAGATTGTCTTGCACAATTTGATCAAATCCAAAGTTATCCCACTTCAGCTCTTGAAACTACTTAACAACATCTCATGCATTCCATCTTACGAATTAGCCTCAAACACAATTTCGCGATTGTCATCAGCAAGTATTTTCGTCACAACTTCCCTGAGCTCTTTGTTTGCTTCATCTTCTTCTTTTCCTCCCACTACATCAGCATTACCTAAACAAGCCCTTATACAATCATCGATACTAGTACTATCCAGGGGCGGACCCACCTTTAGTCATAGTGGGTCCGGTGACACAGTATTTTTTTAAAAAATTAAATATCAAAGAGACCCCTTATTATAGATAGGTGGTCTCGTTGATGCTGCTAGTGGTAACAACAAACAATATCAAAGAGACCACTTATTATAGATAGGGGGTCTCTTTGATGCTGCTAGTGGTAACAACAAACAATGTCAAAGAGACCCCTTATTAAGATAGAAGATCTCTTTGATGCTGCTATTGCTACAAAAGACTGTGTGTTTTTTTTTAAATTAAAGAGACCTGTTATTTATATAAGAGGTCTCTTTGATGCTGCTATTGCATTTCACAATTTTTTTGCGTTACTTTCTTTTTCATTAAAGAGACCAGTTATATTTAATAACTGGTCTTTTAAGTTATCTCACTTTTTTTTGTATAATTTTTTAATAATTTTTTCCCCCTTTTTATATCTTATATTTGTACAACCAATTTTAATATTTCCCCATATAGCTTATCAATTAACTAAAAAATTATAAAGTTAATTCAATATAATAATTTTATTGTACCATTATAACATGTTATTTGTAGTATTTTCGACTTGTAAAATTGAATTCTTAAGTACTGTATTTGGTTGTGATATGAATTTTTGTGTCCTATTTTTGGATTGAAATCAATTTGGTATATGTATATATACATATATATATGTATGTATATATACATATATATATATTTTATATATATAAGTTTTGGATTGAAATTAATTATGAACGAGACATGGAAAAAAAAATTGTACTTTCACAAATGATCAATAATTGATGGTGACACACTATCTCGGAAATCCTGGATCCTCCACTGGTACTATCGTCTTCATCCTCTTATAGTCCTTTATTACAATCATCAACCGCGAAACAAAGCCAGGTATCTTTAATTAGAACCGACGAATTGCTGCTTTCAAAATTTAAAACACTAGGCAACTTGTATATTATCATCCGGTATCCTCTAAGTAAGAGCGTGTACCAGTCCATAAACTCGGAACCAAGTATCATCTTTCCCCTCTTCTCAGGGTCCTTGATCACTACCGCTTTAACTCCCTCGTGTATAAGTGAGAGTAATATATACGGTTGGTACGTTCCATGATAGTATTGTCCAACGTCGACGAAGAGACTTGAGTTCGGGACTTTCATCCTCCTGAACCACCTCGATACCTTGTCGACTAACAATATCACCTAAAACGTACAACACGTAGTCACAATGAGGCTTGCTCGTCCCCAACTTAGCATCCCAACGGAGCCATGTACCAGGATTAGAAATCAGCGTGAAGGGATCATTTGCGGAGAATGCGGTATGTTCGACCTCCAATGATTCGCGGCATATGCAACCATTGGAGGGTTTTATATCCAAAATCAAACAATTTACTGCTGTAGGGAAAGTCCTCTCTGGCATCGACGAAGATTGTTACATGTTTAAGTACAAAATTAAGGATTTTACCATACCATAATCTACTCCTTTCCGGGAGGGACAGTGAGGGTGGTAACGATGTCGAAAGAGAAGAAACTTCCAGGAGAGCAGCAGCAAATTCATGTTGGTTAGAACTAAGTGTTGCATAGTCAAGATTTCTAAGAATTATAGCTAATATATGAGAGGGTAACAAATATAGAGGCCGATTCTTTTGCTTAGGTTTAGCCTTGCGTAAGTTGCGTTTGAATTGTTGCTTGGTTAGCCTCTTCAAGAATAAATCCATGGTAAGAGAGACAGGTATATTATCTTGGTATTATTGAAGATATAATAGCGTATATTTTTGTTTTGGTGAACATGCGGAGTAGCATATATAATTGTATAGATTTAAGAGGAAGTATTGTAATTGTATTAGGAGACCTGACACAACAAGATATAAGTTAAGATAATATTTTACAAAATATATCTTAAACAATGAGATTATATTTTTCCGACATTTTTATCGTTGGATTTTGCGTTAAAGTGTAGTAGTAAGATAAATTATTTAGGCAACTAGAACCTTGTACCAAACCTAAATTTGGCTTAATAGAAAGGAAATCACTTTCGAGACTATAGACAATTTGGGGAAGGGAATTACCTTACCTTCCCAAATTGTCTAGCCCAATAGTCTGATCCAGGTTGACCGATGAGGATTCCGGCTCATTTGAGCCCTTTTACACCCAAATTTTTTTTTTAAAAAAAAAAAAAAAAAAAAAAAAAAAAAAAAAAAAAAAAAAAAACTTCACAATTGTTGACATAAGAAACAGTATTTTCCCTTTTCCCACCATGTCCACACAAAGTGGATTTACACTAGACGTCTACACCAACTAATTTGTATAATACTCCGTATCAATATTCAATTACAATATTAAACATCACTTTACATAATGGCTTATTCTCCCTATAAGCTTGATTTTTACTCAACGCAATTTATTAAACTAGCCTTATATTTGCTAAAATGTGGGGAGAGCAGAGCATAAACTAACAAATTTTTGAATGTGTAAATGTGGGCAAAATAAATGACGATCATTCAAGCTTAGCAATACATATTTAGCATATGCTTGAATTTGATACCGCAATAGACAAACGGTATTTCTAAGAAGATTATATGCTTCAAAGTGCAACCCCAGAAACAGTTTCATCTAAAATTTTACAGATGTAACATTCAGAAAGTGTATATACCAAACTACAGGATTGCATTACAAGAACATCCAACGCTGCAGTCAACAGTAACACCTAATCTTTCTCCGAATTCAATCTGACTTCCAAAGTCCATTTCCCCTGTTCAGTTGTATTGCTAGAAACTAAAATTGTGTAGTTATCAAAGGGTTAAACACCCAAGATTAAGATACCTAGTGAATGATGAATTAAACATTTGTACCTCTGCCCTCTCGCTGTCACGATTCCTTTAGAGTTATTACTTCAGCTGATCTCTTCTACCTTTTCCTCCATTGAACTTTGCCAATGACTAATCAAAGTATACTTATCTTTATTAGCGAAAGAAAGCATTTAATATGTTACAAAAAAACTTAAAACACAGTCTGCATATTGGAAATAATGCAAGAATAACATGAAACACAATTACTAACAAATTATGAATGCACAGGATCATGATATTCACTACATTACCATAATTGGAGGGTCATAGAACATGAAAGGACAATGAACACACTACACACACCCCAAAAAAGGAGAGGGGAAAGAAAAGCAAAAGCGCAAAAGACATAGGAAAATAAATAAGACCACAAGTAAAGCAAAGAAATAGCTCATAAGCTTTGTGTTAAAACACATTACAAGCAATATACACAGCCACACAAAGTTCGAGCTCTAGCAAGCGAACAGAATGTAAATGCACAACTGAATCATGTCCTCACTACAGAGCCGAGTGCAAGAGTGCAGAAGGTGCAGGGATAAG